TCCCTCTCTCTCTGACCCTCCGCTGCTCATGCTGTCTCTCCTCTCTCAGAAATAAATAAAACATTTAAAAAAAAATTTTTTTTTAATAAAAATAAAAAAGTAAAAAAATCACTGAAATTGAGAAGAAAACAGGAACAGCATCTGACCAGAGGAAGTACTGTAAAGGTCTTGGCTATTAGCCATATTCCAAAGACCATTAGTTTAGAAGAAAAACCAGGCTTTGTACCAGAAAACTATCATAGTAGGTACTTTCTTTTTTTTATATTTTTTTAATGTTTTACCTATTTTTGAGAGACAGAGTGTGAGAGGGGGAGGGGCAAAGAGAGAGGGAGACACAGGACCTGAAGCAGGCTCCAGGCTTTGCGCTGTCAGCACAGAGCCTGATGCGGGGCTCGAACCCACAAACCGTGAGATTATGACCTGAGCTGAAGTCAGCCACTTAACTGACTGAGCCACTCAGATGGCCCTAACTGTGGTTACTTTCTAAGTCAGGTAGGGGGTAGCAACGCTGACCGTCACAGGACAGAAAATTGGACAGCTTTTCACCTCCCACACAGCCAACGTTAGGGGAGCAGGATAAGCATTTCAGTTTTCTCATAGTCTTTGGCATTATTACAGTATCTCCAACGTGTACATGACCGTAGACACGTACCCCTGGACCAAATTCAAGTTAAAACACTCTATTCCCTGGCTCCCTTGTACTCCTGTCAGCCCAACTCATCTTGGAAAACCAGGCTATCCCTCCACGGTGAAGACTCCCCCTTGCCCTCCCCTGCTCCGTCTACACAGTGCAGATTATACCATCCTGCAATACGTCTGCTCTTACACCTTCTTCGCTACGCCACGATGTCCATACGCCTCATTCTCCTCGTGAACCATGAGCACCTCTTTGAGAACAGAGACTAGCAAACATTTTCAAATTCCCAGTGTCTTGCAAGTTAGGCACTAAATACATACATGAATGAATAAATCAATATCCCTATGTATCTTATAACAAATACCTTCACAAACAAGTAGAAACCTGTATTTGGAGGTGGTTTGTCCAAAAGGTTATTTAGGTATCTTCAGTTCTATTCAAGAATTAGCAGATCAGTTGAACCCACTGAACCATCCAGCAATTCTTTATGCCTCAAAGTGGGAAACATTAGAAGTATGTTAAGTAAACATACTCCAGTAAAAACAGAATCTAAACTTTGAAATTAAAGAACTAAGGCATTTAAAATGTCAGGGAAACACTGGGTGGCTCACTTCAGCTCAGGTCATGATCTCACGGTTTGTGGGTTCGAGCCCTGCATCGGGCTGTGTGCTGACAGCTAGCTCAGAGCCTGGAGCCTGCTTTGGATTCTGTATCTCTCTCTCTCTCTCTCTCTCTCTCTCTCTCTGACCCTCCCCTGATCACGCTCGCTCGCTCTCTCTCTCTCTCTCTCTCTCAGAAATAAATAAAACATTTTAAAAAAATAAAATGTCAGGGAAACAAAAGCAGTCTGAAAATTTTCTTATGAAACTAAAAATAGCATGTAGAAAAGATATCACAAGATTTAATGTTTGTATCTCCTTTTTTAGGAGAGAAACTAATCACAAGTCAGATGATAGTACTTTCCTATTAAGATGGATGAAATCAAAACCAAATCACATATTAAATCAATTTCACATGATGCTTCCATAGGAAGGTTTTGTAAAGACCATATCAGTCAGCTAAAAATGGGCTGATTTTTAACTTAACAGTTCTTGGCAATTTTTTGGAAATTGCCAGGGCTCCGCGATAAGATACTGATTCACATCAAATCAGTTCCAGGTCTGCCTTGGGCTACTATAAAAGGGGTGTCCCTCCTCCCAGCGAAAGGGCAGGCCTCACCTGGATCCCATTCCCCTCCCATCTTCTCAGGAACTTGGCACAAATAAGCTAAAACTTTTCTTGCACAAACGAGGTAATACTTTTCTCATCTGCATTCAACCTCTCCCTTCCAAGGAACACCTTCTCATCAGCGTTTAAACTTAAATACTCAATGCCCTCATAGGAGTCCTCACCCCTGCAGGCACAGCTTCGGGCTCTGCCCCCACTTCCCTGGCCACTGCTCCCAGCTCTAACCCAGGGCCCCCGCAGTTCTTACTCTAGTCTCTTCACAGGCAATCTCACCCAGGCTGGTGGGTTCGCCCACCACCTCTACGCTGATGGCCCCGAAACACTACACTAGTAATCACTGGGCATCTCCTCCTCCTCTCAACCTGTAAACTATTAATCACCATGTCTGGCAATTCTACCTCCAAATTTCCTTTTACTCAATATTTCTGCTCATGGTATGAGGGCTCTTAAGAGGATCAAACAGGCTAACGTGATAGTACTCTGAAGGCAGACAGGGGGACTTAAGTCTGAGTGTTAGTATTCATTAAATTTAAATCTCCTTGAAAACCGGGACTTTATCAAATTCATCTTTTTATTTATTCCACATGGCACGCCAAGCAGTGCTGGGCATGCAGATGGCATTCAGTAAACGTACTGCAATGATTTATCTGCACTGGCTTTATACACATTCAACTGAAATATGCATATACTTAACAGCTTGTGTGTCCCAAACCACATAACCATTTTGTCTCCTAAGAGGTGAGAATTTCAAGTGTAACCTACTCTGGTTACCTTTGATAATTAAGATGCTGGCTTTTCTCAAGTGAGGAAACCCTGTCACCTTCGGCCTGGCTTTCCTGAAAACATCCAAATCCTATCAAGTCCAAAGCTCACATAAGATTCTTGGTTCCCAAAGGTTCACTGTGCAAGGGGATAAAGGAAGTGTTACAGGAACATTTAGGCTGTGAGGCAGAGTGCTTCAGAAAGTGCCCCATCTCATTTTCTATCTTGCAGTGTGAGCTAGAGTGATATTCTGGGTGGGAACCAACACCGTGAAATAAAAAAGAACGTTACTGTTCAAAAGTTCTCAAACTCTCGCATTACGTACATTTAATTGCAGACCTAGAACATGACTGTCAAATCTTACCAGATCAATTCAAAAAACTCCCTAATTTCCATCTAAATCACAATCCTCATTATAATCTTCATTCACATGCTACTTTTCCTTCATTGCACTTCTCATAACTTGTAATTATATATTCATCTGTATGATGGTTTGCTTCGTATCTGTTTCCTCCAATGCAGGCAAGGATCATGGCAATTCTGTTCATGGCTATATTCCCAGGACCTTACATGGTGCCTAAAATATAACAGGACTTAAAAGGCTCTTGCTGAGCAATTAATTGAATGAGGAATGGAAGTAGTCATTCAAGCAGAATCAGACAGGGAAAGCACATAAGCAAAGAGAAAGATCCTGAGGCCCTAAAAATCTGACCCCCTGCCCCCCCCACACACACACCAGAGTGGGTATGATTTTCCACTCCTAATTTATCCATCCTTCGTTTCTCCATTCCTGTTTCCTTCCTTCCTTCAGAGGTCATTTTAGACTCAAAAAATATTTCAGCTTTAAATCCCATCCAAACATCTTAATAAATCCAATAACTGAGTCCCAAAGACACCAGGTGACTTGTCCCTTGACCCTTCTCATAAGAGACATTATGAAAAGCCTAAAGAACGAGCCACAGTGACTACAGAAGTCTTAGTCATCCCCAAGGGTAACAACTGCACAGGAAGATGCCAGAAAACAAAAAGATAAAAGTCTGTGCAACTGGCTACCACGTCACAACACCTCTTCCCTGTGATAACCTTCTAATAGGCTCCAGGAGCAATTCTGCTGACAACCTTCAGCTCCCAGGACCAATCTGGGGACACAAACAGGGTTGTGATCGCCACGAGAGGTCTTCAAACTACAGCTCTCGGGCCCGCCTCCCAAAAAAATCCACCGTGGCAAACAGTTCAACCAGCCACCAAGGAGAGGCAGCATAATATAGTGGTTAGATGCAAGAGCTCTGAGTTTTAGACATCCTGGTCTGAGTGCCAGTTTCTCTTACTTGCTGTGATCTGGGGCAAGTTAATGTGTCCACACTGCGGTTTCTCTAGCCGTAAAATGGGAATAGGCACCACCCCAGAGGGCTGTTAACTAGGCGAAGATAACCACGCATCAAGCACTTTGTACAGTGCCCGGCATGTAATAAAGTCTCAATAAATGTCAACTATTTATCATCGTATTCAGCTGTAATCGCTTTCGCAAGGCCTATTCCCCCCGTAGCTTCCATATAATTTTAAAGACGTTGCTCTACCTTTCCCATTTTGGAGGAGCCATACATAATAGCTTTAGAGCACATTTTCTACATCCAGACCATGGGAACCGGTTACGTGTCTCTGCGTCTCAGGTGGCTCACCTACGAAGCGGGCCCGAGAACTCCTCCCCCGCCGGACTGCTGATCGCGAGGGAGTACCACCTCCGCGTTACACATTCTATTACTGGCGTGTAATTAAGACGCACTTACGGAAAAGTAAACCTGCAGCTCTCGACCCCCACCAGCCAGGCGGCCAGAACAAACGCCAAGGTCGACCCCGCTCACCCACCCAATTTCTGCCCGCCGCCTGCAGCGACAGCCACCCCCGCCCGTCCCTCCAGCAGGGTTTCCCGGAATCGCAGGGCTCCGTCCTCGCAGGGACCGCGTCAAGGCCCACCCAAAGGAAGATGCCAGCCTCCCACCCCCACGGAGCCGGTAGGGACCCGGGGCATCGCTCCTCCCCCGGACTGCGCGGCCGCCCGGGTTGCGGTTCCCCCCGCTCACGTGAGCCCTTCGGCCCAGGCCCCGCGTCACCCGCTTCCCGGACCCCACGGCGGCGCCTCCCACCCTGCCCGCCTGCTTCCCCCCCTACGCCGCGGGCCGCCACGCGACCCCGCATCCGCCCGCGCGCACACCCCCGGGGCACACGCTCCGCGGCCTCGGCGGGCACCCGGGACACCCCCGGGCCCTCGCGTCCCGCCCCCAAGCCCGGGCGGCCCTCAGGCCCAGCCCGGCCGCACGCCGAGGCCGCGCCGCCGACCGGCCCCCGCCGCTCCCGCCACTGGCGCCGCACTCACCGCGACGCAGGAGCCCCGGTTCTTCCAGCCTCGGGCCCGCGCAGGCCTGGCTGCGCCCCCAGAGCATTCACGCCCCGTGCCGCCTCCTGGGGATCCCGGCGCGGCCGCCGCGCCCGCTCTGCGAGGGGACGACCGCCTGCTACCGCGGCCGCCGCCGCCGCCGCCTCCTCGTCCCAGCCCCGGCCGCGGCGACAGACGCAGCGTGGCTCGCCGGCGCCGGCAGACCAGCGTCTGTTGAGCCGAACCGTCCGGGACGCGCACCCCCGGCCGGCGCTCGTTGCATATGCAGAGAAGCCGCCGCCCATTGGCCCGCGGGCGGTGGCGCGTGCGGGGCTGGGCCTATCGAATTCCGGCCGGGGAGCGCGGCGCGGTCGGCCCGGGGCGGGACGAGGTTACTACGGGTCATTCGGCGGAGCCGCGGCGGACCGGACCCGGCCGCCACCGGCTCGGGGCGGGGACCCGGTCGGCGGGAGGGATCGGACCGCGGCGGCGGGGGGAGGGGAGGCGGGCCGAGAGGTGGGCGGAGGACAGGCGGATCCAGCGGGGTCTGCAGCAGGGCCGTCCCCCCAGGGGGGAAAGGACCGCCCCCCCCAAAACAGAACTGAAAATGCACTGTTGCTGCTGTAGTGTTTAAATCGTAACACAGATCATGCAGTAATATCCGTACTATTTTCGTTCTTAAGGGCATCACTTACCCTTCTTGCACACGTTTTTATCAAATTTTGTAAAATAGAATGATTTCCGGAAATCCCTGAAGCGACAAGGGGCTCAAAACTGCAAAGCAAGTTCCTTTATTATTTCTCGTGTCTTGTCTTCACTTAACTCAGTAAATAGCCCATCTTCTCTAAACGCACTTCGCTATTCATCCAAGATTTGATTGTTCTCAAAGGATAAAGTTTATTGCACACTTGTTTTTAGGCATTCTTCTGCATCTAGCAGTGTTTCTGTATGTTAAAGAGTTTGTCATTAGATCTCATTTTAAACAGCAAAAGGTAAAAAGACACGAGTGCAGGTACACTGCCTCCCCACAAGCAAACAAATGCAAACCAAAACACAAATGACTAACACAAATCTACAGGGTTCTGACAAAAAGATGCCTTTCATTACCTAGTAGTAGGCGGGTTGGGCTTTTTTTTTTTTTTTTTTCCGTAACCCAACAAAATATTGAGTTGGTCTCTGATCACAGTTATGACATGAAGTCAGATTTCATACCACAGGAAATAAAACTGATTTGGAGGGTTTACATATTTTTTTTCTTCAGTAGTGAAGGAGCTAGAAATGAATAGCAAATCTCCCCACTATGCAAAACTTTTCTTTAAGTAGGTGAAAGGTGACGTTTCTGAGCCAGCCTGAGGCTAAAAGCAAGGGCGAACTTCCCAAGAGAATCTCTAAAATCAGGAAGCCGTCTGAACTTGAACTTGGTGGAGTGATGCTGCACACAGCAAAGAAAGCTCTCTCACTTTGGGCCCCAGGCAATTTAGCTGCCTAAAGGAATGGCTACCTGACTCAGGCAACCTGTTCCTCCACTGGGAAATATATTCAGTTGCTGCTCGTCTATAGAAATGGTATCAAAGGATAGACTCTGAAGACTAATGGAATGCACGATTCTGCATGCAGAGGGAAATACAGAAGTGGTAGTTCCAAAGCCAGGAAAAAGCTCTAGGAAAATAATTTCCAAGTGAGGAAAACCGATAGATAGATAGATAGATAGATACATACATACATACATACATACTTTTAGGAAAACCAATATTAAATCTTTTTTCCATCAATAAGCATAAAGCAGACTAATAGAATTCCAGCAAGATCTTAATATCTTTCTTCATTATCTTTCTATATTGTAAAATATATGTGTGTGATACATACGTATATATGACATATTTTTAAAAGAAAATATTCCTTGGAATGAAAATTCTAAATTCTCATCTTGTTAGCTTACGCGAAATAGAAATATGATTTTTCTAGTCCCTAGATGTTTTGCTTTAAAAAAAAAAATAATACATCCACAGCTGCTTTTCTTTTAGAAGAGGCTTCAGGGGAGCCTGGGTGGGTCAAGTGGTTGAGTGCCTTACTCTTGATTTCCGCTCAGATCATGATCTCACGGTGTCATGGGTTCAAGCCCCACCTCAGGCTCTATGCTGACCCTATGGAGTTTGCCTGGGAGTCTCTCTCTCTCTCTCTCCTGCTCTGTCTCTGTCGCTCTCAAAATACATAAACTTAAAAATAATTATTTTTAAAAAGATTTCAGTATTTTTTCCCCAGAGCTTTTGAGAGTTATTGAATTTGCCTTCACTTTCCTTCTAGAAACTATAACGGCCAACTAAATGAAAACATCCAACAGTACCTTTTATAGCTTTGTTATTTCTCCAAATTACAGAGGAATTCAGGGAGATGTCTTTGTAATTCTCAAAAACACTTAACGACCTGTTTTATTTGAAGGGTCGTAGAAATAGCCTGTGACCGCATGGCAAACTACTGCTAACATTTTCCGTAATCATTATAATGTAAAACCAGGGCCAGCTGATGTTCAAAAGTGTAACAGAAGCCTTTTTGTTCTTCATTTCTGGGGATGGAGAAGGGGTGGGGGACGCGGAGGTAGCACAGGATGCTATATGTTTGAGTTAAGATCGTTCTGGCTCCAAAGAGCAGAACAATCAACAAAAAACGATGACCTTTATTTGTATCACATCAAGATTACTCAAGAGGCAGGGCAGGTCCAAGATGAATCCAGAGACTCTGCCCCGTCACTGAGGATCAGAGCTTTCACCACCTTTCACTCTGTCAGTCTCAGCACATTGGCTTCATCCTTTAAGCCATCTTACTCACAGTAAGGGAGCCACAGTTTCAGGTGTCACATGAAAACACAGCAGCAACCGGCCAGAAAACAGAGGCATGTTTCCTAACGCCATTTCTTACTAAGGAGGAAACCCTCCGTCAGAAGGCTCGCCACAGACGGCTCCTCAAATCCCATTGGCTGGAATTGGGTCACGTGTTCGTATCCTAGCCGCAAGGGAGTCTGGGAAGTGTTGGCCGCCTTCGCTTCTTTAACGGAAGGCAGGCGCCGTCAACACAGAAGCAGCCGCGGGAAAGAATCGAGGCAGGAAGGCCTGCTCAGCAGTGTCGGCCACGGATATCACCTGAAAGTACTCATGCCTGACAAAAAGTGCTTACGCGATAAAACCATCCGTTGTCTCACTTGTAATGTCCAGAGGAAGGCAATTCCAGGGTTGCTCCAAAGGCTCAGTTGGTGTTATCTCCAGCCTAACTCCTTCTTTCTCTTCATTCTGCCAACTTCAGTGTTTATGTTCTCTCCCTTCATGGCTTAAATTGCCCTGATAAACAGCCCCCTCATTGACCACCTACTAGGGCCGGATAAGGACAGTCGAGCAACTGGACAGAGCATCATTTGACCTCTGGTTCAAGCTATATGAAGGGCATTGTGAAGGACAGGGCCCCATCCCAAAAGAGGGTCACCCTCTGGCTGGCTCCTTAGCACTGACCTTTAAGAGTTTTATCAGGGGAGGGGTGCCCAGTTGGCTCAGTCAGTAGAGCATGCAACACTTGATCTCAGGGCCATGAGTTTAAGCCCCACATTCTGCTTACTTTTTTTTAAGGAGGTTTTTTTTTCTTAAATTTTATGTTTTTAACATTTTTTTAGAGACACACAGAACATGAGCAGGAGAGGGGCAGAGAGAGAGGGAGACACAGATTCCTAAGAAGACTCCAGGCTCTGAGCGGTCCGAACAGAGCCCAATGCAGGGCTCAAACTCACGAACGACGAGATCGTAACCTGAGACAAAAACAGGTGCTTAACCCACTGAGCTACCCAGGCGCCCCTCTGCTTACTTTTTTAAAAAAGAGTTTCAGGGGTGCCTGGGTGGCTCAGTCGGTTAAGCGTCCAACTTCGGCTTAGGTCATGATCTCACAGTTTGTGAGTTCGAGCCTCGCATCAGGCTCTGTGCTGACAGCTAGCTCAGAGCCTGGGACCTGTTTCGGATTCTGTGTCTCCCTCTCTCTCTGACCCTCCCCTGCTCATGCTGTCTCTCCTTCTCACTCAGAAATAAATAAAACATTAAAAAAAAAGTTTCATCAGGCAGTACTTACTGGGGATGAAGTATTATGATAGGACCCATGGACCCTATAGTCACATGCCCATAGTTGCTAGTCTGCCATATAATGGGTCCCTTAGTAGCAGACAAATGTTATGCAAGATCCCATGATGACAAATCAGACACTCTGTGAACCAAGACTCAGTGGGCAGGTTTGGCAAATCCATGCAAAGATTTTGTGTGAACCCCAGTAAGGACTACTTGCCTTACACACTGGTGAGTAGAAAGCCCTTAGGTGGAAATTCACAGGTGCCATCAGCCTACGCTGGACACACAAATGATACGATATGGCACCAACGCATTTGCTACAAGTAGGCAATCAACTGTGTCTACCATTTATCCTTTTTTGGGGGGAAACAAAACCTGGAATGTATTTCAAGGAATTTTCCAGTTACTGAATTTCAAGGAAAGAATCAGGAGAATTCTTAGAGGTCCTGTGTGTCCAAATCTTGTGCTCTGTCTTCCTAGGAAGCTCTTTGTAACACAGGCATCAGATTCAGGAGGAAAGTGCAACAGGTTCATGGGGTAAGATATCACAGTGGGATACCTTCATACCCATTCTAGACTATAAAGACCTCTAAGGATTTGAGATTCTTAATGTCAATGTCCTCAATGACACTGGATTGCATAAAAATAAATCAGTATGAATCTATTCCCATCCCTACCCACCAGAGTTCCATGAAAATAGGCTAATGTTAATTAGTTTTTTTAATATATGTTTTTTAAAGTTTATTTATTTTGAGAGATAGAGAGAAAGTACGAGCAGGGGAGAGGCAGAGAGAAAGAGAGAGAGAGAATCCCAAGCAGACACTGCACTATTAGTCACGAATCATTAGATCATGACCTGAGCCAAAAGCAAAAGTCAGACGCTTAACCAACTGAGCCACCCAGACATCCCTAATTAGCTTTTTAAAGTAACAACACATACTTCCTCATCAAGTTCATTTTGATTAATGATAATTTCCAGGGGCATCTGGGTAGCTCAGTCTGTTGAACGCCAACTTCGGCTCAGGTCATGATCTCACAGTTTGAGCCCTGGCATCAGGCTCTGTGCTGACAGCTTGGAGCCTGGAGCCTGCTTGGGATTCTGTGTCTCCCTCTCTCTCTGCTCCTCCCCCACTC